GCCTGCTATGCAGCAAACTAGATGCGTTTAGATACCAACAAGAAGCACAAATCACAGCGCAGCAGCAGCAGCAGCAGCAGCAGCAGCAGGAGCAGCAGCAGGAGCAGCAGCAGGAGCAGCAGCAGGAGCAGGATCAGGAGCAGGATCAGGAGCAGCAGCAGCAGCAGCAGCAGCAGCAGCAGCAGCAGTGGCAGTAGTAGTAACAGTAGCACTACTCGAAGTACTCAACGCACAACCAGCGAAAACGAGAATAAATAGCAACGGTTTAACAATGACAATGGCAACAATCAGAAAATAGCCATTCCGTGTTTGCTTCTACTACAACGACGGCGACTACTACTAGTCATAACAATATGCAGTATGCACAACCATTGATGTATGCATGCACGTATGTATGTATGTCTGTGTGTACATACATATATCGTAGAGCTAGTAGACGTATGCGTAGCTACAGTCATGCCCATAGTCGCTATCGATGTGAACAAGCTCCCACTACCAATAGCTACTTGAAGGGTAGCCATGTGGAGGCAGACGGGGGACCAGACCTGCCCCAAGCCTTAAACCCTAAACCCTAAACCCTAAACCCCTAAAGCCCTAAAGCCCTAAACCCTAAACCTAAACCCTAAACCCTAAACCCTAAACCCTACACCTTTTCGCCTGGAGCGTAAGCCGAAGCTCTCAAGCCTGATCGTCAAAGACTAGACGGCGCCATCGGAGGCCCTGCCCCTTCTTGCCTGGGTCCAGCTCTGAGCGATGGGACAGGGACCAGTAATATATTATACTGTACTATATTACAAAGATATATATATATACATATACACATACAGTATGATATACTATCATATAATATAGTATACTGTACGGTAACATAACCAAATATATTAATAAGACTCTGTCGTACTGTTTTCGGAGATGCCCGTATTGAGACCCAGTCAGGAACCGGAGGCTTCAGACTAGGTGCAGATCCTTAAGGTTTTTTTTTTTAAGGTTTAGGGTTTAGGGTTTGGGGTTTAGGGTTTAGGGTTTAGGGAGAGGTTGTTTATGGTAGGGGTCATGGTACATCTTGTTTTACACACACACACATGTATCAGTATTTTTGTTGAGGGCGTCTTCTACTGGGATTACACATCTTTTCGGAAGCATTTGCTGTGACATGACATGCATGAGTCACAGCCCCTTATATCCCGAAACCCTCAACATTTTTCAAGCCGTTCCTTAGGGTTTAGGGTTTAGGGTTCCTAAGGCCCGTGACCGTCAGCTCCAAGTCAGCACAACCGCGGCCAATGCGGCGATGGCGGCGCTGGGCGCCGGAGCACAGTGGGCGCCCCTTCGCAGCCCAGAGCCCCCCCCAAGAAGGCCTAAAGTCTAAAGCCTAGGGTTTAGGGTTTAGGGTTTAGGGTTTAGGGTTTAGCAGGCCTCACTCCGTCACTGCCGGAGCATTGTAGTCGCTAGCCTAAACCCCAAACCCGCAAATCCCTAATCTCTGAACCGGGAACGCTAAGCTCCAAATCCTCAAACCCTGAAGCCCAAAATCCCAAGCCCCGACCCGAAACTCGCCTCCCAAAGAAAGCTGTCACAGGTACTGTCCGTGGAGCTGCTGCGGATGATGGCCGAAGCCACCTCCTCGGCCTGCGCGACGACACCAAAAATCCGTATTTCAGGCTACGGGTGTTTTTGTTTCAGAGCTTCAGCGTGTTCAGGATTTGGGGGTGTAACAGTGTAAAAAAAAAAGCCTAAGGGGTTCGGGCCTTTCAGGGTTCCGTAGTGCATTCGAAGTATCCAGAAGGTTGGGTTTGAGGCTCACGCTAAGGGTCACTACACGAAGAATTCTGGCGGCATTTGCAGGGTTCCATGAAGCGGTCGCATGTGTGGACTTTTCTGCGGCTGAACTCCAGGTTCAGGGGGCTTTCGGGCTTTAGGGTGGATTAGGGTCTACTACTGCTGCTGCTGCTGCTGCTGCTGCTGCTGCTGCTGCTGCTACGGCTGCTACTGCTGCTGCTACAACAGCGACTGATCTACCGTTACCGCGACTTCTGCGACTACTAGTACTTCTCCTGCTACTGCTACTACTACGACAACGAATATTACCACTACCTCTGCTAGTGCTACTGCTGCTGCTACGGCTACACGCTACTCGCTACTGCCTCTGCTACTGATACTGTTCCTGCCACTGCTACTGCCACTGCTACTGCTCCTACTGCTTCTACGTCTGCTGCTGCTGCTGCTGCTGCTGCTCCTATTGCCCCTACTACGACTCTTACTACTGATGCCTCTACTACTACACTGCCGCTACCACCACTGCCACTGCCACCGCCACCGCCACGGCTCCAAAGCCTCAGACGGAGAAAAACAGCCCTTGGAAGCCTCCATGAGCATGAGGTGGGTCCAAAGCCGGGAGCCCACGCCTGGCGACAAAGATGTGGGTTTAGGAGTTTAGGGTTTAGGGGTTCGTTTGCGTTCGTATTTTCCTACATCCTATGGCTTGGGGCCGAGCTTGGCATGCCAGACAGACAAAGGTGATGAACACTGCATGGAGTTGAGGGCCTTGCAAAAACCAGAAGCTCCTACATTCCCAATCCTTGAGCCCAAACTTAAGCTTTCTTCGCCGAATATCGAAGCCCAGATTCCCAAACCACCCGAAGTCATCCCTGGCTCCAGCCAGGCCCCATCAAAGCTGCAAGGCGAAACACATCCACGAACAGAAAACACGTCAGAGCCAGTACTCCATGATTTATGCAGGGGCCTTTTAATTTAAATAGGGTTTTGGAGCATATTATACTATACTTATAATGAGGAACCACCAAAATAGTATTGGCAATTGTTTAGGCCCCTACATTACTCCATGATTGAGGTGTATCCTCTGAGTGATAGATGGATCCTTGAGTCGGATTCCTCTCCAAACTCTCTGAAGAAGTGAGCCCTATCCAGGGCAGACAATACAGAAGCCTGCATAATAAAGAATACTGCTGATAGATGCTGTTTACTCCTCCTCAGGGTTTCTGATTGGAATCGTTTTAGCTTGTTTGTAAAGCCCCAAAATTTTTGGAGTTTCTGGGTAGAGGACTCTCTGAACAGAGGCCGAACACGATCTCCTTCAACACTCTCTTGCGCAGTTTTGCCGATGCCGGGGGCCCAACCACGAGGCTGTGAGGGCTTCGGGGTTTAGGGTTAAAGGTGGCGATATCGACATTCATCTGAATCATTGGAAACTACATGACCCATACTCTCTCAAAGTCCCTTTCCCTTGTATATGATCATGGAGCTACCTTCGAGATCACCCCTAAACGCCCTAAACCGTAAACCCTGAGCCCTTGCTAAGCTCTACAGCCTAAAACCTCCAAAAACCCACACTCTCAAGCCTACACCCTAAAAAGAGATCCGAAATCCGAAGCCTAAAACCCTCAGCCCTGACAAACCCGAAGAAAAGATCCTAAATCCGAAGCCGCCCGCGTCGATTCTGAGCGAAGAGAAGCTGAGGCGTCGCAGTGGCTCTTGGCTCTGGAAGCGATCGAGAGAATGAAGGCTCCTTCAGGTTTTACTCCGAGTAGGGTTCAGGGTTCAAGGTTTTCGGTTTAGGGTTTTAGGGTTCAGTGTTTAGGTTTGTTATTGATGGTTGAGGGTGTGGAGTTTAAGGGCGTAGGGGTAGTTAAGGGCTTCAGCATGGGGCTTTGGGTGGAGAAGTGGGGGTTAGGCATATGAGTGTCGAACGGTCAACGCCAAAGGGTGACGGGTTCAGCTTTCGAGTAGCTGGCGAAAAAACTGCCATCATGTCCTCGCCGTGTCTGTTCGAGAGGCTTTAGCAGTCAAGGGTCCCCTAACGGGAGGCTAGCTGATAACGTCTTTGAAGTAGATGTCTGAACAAGTTCATAACACTATTCATTGGGTTCCTTAACATACGTCTGCTGCGATGCTACAAAAGTTACCCTATCGCCTTACTCTAGGTATCAACGCCCCTATACTCCTCAAACAAGGCCTGCATGTCTACCTCGAATTCTGCGAGTTCTGTTCGCGAGCAGGGTTTTTCGCGGTTGCACGGCCAAACACCCACAACAGAGTTGATGAACGTCCGGCAAAACCTTATAGCCATAAAACTTATAACGAGAGCAATGTAGAGCCTTGATCAAGGCAGAAACCATACCTTCAACGGGAGTACGCTGTGGATCCTGATACTCAGTCCAAGAAGAGAAGGGTGTTAATTCATCAGGGCTCAATATTGGGTTATGCAGCCCGTAAAGTAGCCGAAACTTGAAGCCGCACGTAAACCTAAAGCACAGGTGCATCATTGCCCGCCGACCCACGTGACGCTGACCACGCTCATGGGTGCCCTCGTACCCAGCTCGGGGGGTTCTGACTCTTCTAGGGTTCTAGGAGGTTTCGAAAAAGGTTGTATTAGTGCAAAGTTGACCGTTGAGGGCTTGGGGTTTATATGGTTTCGGGTTTCCTCCTGCAGGTCTCGCAAGGTTGGACATACGATTCGATGGACGGAGCATACTAAGGCTCTGGCAGTAGCAGCTACATTGGACATAATCAAGCCTTGGCATGGGTGTTGGGACTCTCATCACAGAGCGTTTTTTGCAGGTTTGGCTCCACAGTCCCTTCCCGTCGTTGATCTTGATCTCGGCCATGTCCAGCAGCAAGCGGACGCATTACCAGCAAGACTGCCATGTGAGTTATGGCGGCCGCTTCAACACACACGCATCCCATACCATCTCCGCGGCCGAGCGAGCTCACTTCAACCTGGCGAATCGCAGTGACGGGCCCGGGAACTACCGCAACTGCAACGCTTACACCAACCAGTCGGTGCACCGCCGGATCGACGAGCACTTCCTTTGCCAGTCGCAACGTCATAGCTTCACTCAGGACGGCATGGACTTCGGTCAGCCGGGCACGAAGTCCTACATCAGTCCGCAAGAGGTGGCTCGACGAACCCAGGCGAAGATCAATGCCGCCAAGGACTCCCATGCCGTGCAAAAAAGAGCCCTTTCCCTGACCCCTACACCGAAAAGCACGAAGTCCCAGATTCCCGGAAGCCTTCATGAATCCCTAAACCCTGAAGGAGTCCGGAGACATCTACAACCGAAGATTCAACAACTACTTGTACAAGATGGCCGAGGCTAGTGACCTTGACCTAAGGCAGTTCAATGGCACCTTGAGGTGATCCAAGGCTACAGACATTGGGGAAGGCATCTTCAGTGAAAAGCCTGCGCCGACACCTCACCCAAGCACTTGGAGTAGATAGGTGACATGTCCTGGCTCGGACCAGACCCCTGAAATGGGTGTTCGGTTGCTTTCGCCAGCCATGGACTCCTGTACAGTTGGAGTCTGGCCTTCTGCTTTCTCTTGGAGGCATTGGCCGTTTTTGCAGAAAGCAGATCTTGGCAAACTCCTGCGCACCAATGATCCTGGGCGCTGAAACAGAGCCAAGCGGGAGCTCTTTTTGGGGGGTGTAATTTGTTGTCTGGGGGTGGGGTCGCAACAGTTGTCGAGTAGAGACGCTTTGTCCAGCTGCAGAGCCCAAGAGCTCAACGAAGCAAGCATGAGTCGCAAGTAATCTGTGGGGCTTAGGTGTAGCTCTCAAAACGCTAAACCCTGCAATAGAAAAACATCCTGAAGCCCTTACATTCAAGAATCCCAAACCCTGAGAGCCAAGATCCCTAACCCGAAGTTAGATCCTAAACTTCCATCCTCAATCCTTACTTTCTCGACGGAAACCCTTCTATAACCCATACACAGGCTTGTGCGAACCCTTATACTTTCCTAGTAAGAACGTTTGCGAGAACCCTTTTAAGAACCCTTGTAGAAGCCTTGTGGACCGAGCTGCCGAGGCAAATGCTACTCTCTGGCAGCAGGCTGCAATACTAGGGCTTCGCTTACGGCCGTAGGGTTAGAGGCATTTAGAGTGTTTAGGGTTCTCATGGTTTCAGGATTTATGGGTTAGGGTTAAAGTGTTGTTTTAGGGCTTGCTGAGGGTGCTGCTGAAAGTATCACCTGATAGCTGCTGAATTCTGTTATGGAATAGTTTCCGCCAAAACCCACTGCGAGTGAATCATGCCCCCCTCCCGCCGTAACCCCGAACCCCCAAAACCCCCCAAAACCCCCCAAGACCCCAGTCGGCGTTAACCACAGTACCCGCAAAAACACCCCCCAAAGTAAGCCCCGAATTCCAAAAACCCTGAGGACCGAGTTCAAAGCCCGGCCCAGACAGGCCCTCCTGCAGCTGGACGAGCTCACCTTGCTCTCGGCAGTGGCCTAAGGGCTTCCAGGCTGTGGAATCCGGGGCTTTTGGTTCACCCTGCCAGCATGCCCGAGCAGAGGTCTCGGACAGAAAGTGGCCTGATACAGTAGTCTGGTCATTTCATCGCGCTGGGTCTAGGGCTTGGGGTTTAGGGGTTTAGGGTTTATAGGGCCGATACTATCAATGTGCAAAGCAGTCGTCTTGCCAGGTGTGTGAGGTGCTTGGTTTTAGGGTTCTGGTTTACGTGGTCATTATCAAGAGCCAAATCAAAGCTTCCAACACGAGGTGAGGTTTCTATTAGGGCTTTGGTGAGAGTATAGATGGGCTCCATATGTTGGTGAGTGTATGCATCGTGTGTTTATGGCATGGGGAGACTCGTGCCAAAAGCCCTACTTCATATCACAAGCCCTAAAACCCTAAGCCCTTAAACCCTGAACCCTAAACCCTAAACCCTAAACTCCTAAACCCAAAAACCGCCGGGTTTTGCAACGAGGAGTCTACGGGCATCTCAGGTCCCTCCGGACGTGGTTTGCCTCAACGCTGCTCTTACTGTGCCGTCCTGAGCTCTCAAAAAGAGGGTTCAATTAGCATTGAGGGAAAACTAGACTACCAACAGAGACGAGGAAACTAGGTATGGTGATCCCTAAACCCCAAGCCCTAAACCCTAAAGATTACGAACAGGAATAGTCATTTCGCTCGACCCACGCGAAGGAGTCCTGAGCGTTTAGGATTTGGGCGTTTATGACAAGGGGCGACCATGCCATACGACACTGTGCTATGCTATACTGTACCACGCTCTACCCTGCTTTTTCCATAATACAAGGGAGCATAACCCTAAACCCTGAACCCGAAACCCTAAACCCGAAGCCCTGAACCCTGAGGGATCGGTCTAACATGCGTAAAAAGTCCCTAAAGCCTGAACATTAAACCCTAAGCCCTAAACCTAAAAAGCTTCCTTAAACTCTGAACATTAAACCCTAAACCTTAATATTCCCTAAACCCCGAACATTAAGCCCATGATAGGGCTTGCAAGGGGGTTCTCCTAAACCCTAAACCCTAAACCCTAAACCCTAAACCCTAATCCTTGAGCCCTAAACCCTAAACCCTAA